ATTTAGATTCCCTTCGCTTTTAGTAATATAATGGCAGGGGACACCAGAAATGGGCTTCACACATTGTACCCATGTGCAGAATTGAACACAGGGCTTGGCGTGATGAGCGAATGCTTTAACCACTAGGCTACCCCACTGCCTCTTATTGAAAAGGAATTAAGTCATCTTCCAATTAGAAGGAAGAATGAAACACGGACATTGAAATGTAAGCTGCAAGAAATTATTGAGTGAATGACTTTGTTTTCACACTGATTTGAATATTACTTTAGTTTTATCATGGAGCTTCAACTTGATGTGAGAGAAATATACTGATGCAGGTCAAAGACATGTGTTACTGCCGTGAAACCCACAAATACAGGGATGGTGCTGATAAACATGGAAACAGGGCAAACCAGGATTTGAACCCATGATCACAGGTTTCTTATAGTTATGCAACACAGCACAGGCAGTTGTTAGTCCTTACCCAAGTGGACCACCATGCATGACCCTGAAGAACATTAAGAAATAGTACAAGATATCAGCTGATTGAAAGAATGTGTTTTTCAATCTATTGTAATTCATTCAATTGATGAAGTAATATTAAGGTTCCATGCAGTACCTTGGTAGAACACTTATATTGAAGTAAATTGGATGACATCATATTGTTAAGGATTTTGACATGTTAACATGTCAACCCAATGTTTCAGATGAAGTAATATTAAGGTTATATGCAGCACTTTATATGCAGCACTTTGTGTAACACTATTTGTCAAATGTGTACACGACAAACAGTGTTACACCTGTCAGAGATATTCAAACTTATCAAATATGACCAGCTGAGCAGATTATGTCCATGAGAATTGCAGACCTAAACAGATTGTCAGTCGTTCATCTGCCTTGGAAAGCAGGCAGGGTATGGAAAGGGGTGGACAAGGGGAGCAGGGAGACAGCGGGAATAGCTTGGACAGGTGAGCTGAAGAAAACCAAGAAGTACAAAAAGGGGAAAACTGACCAGCCAATCCTGGCCTGGACTTCACAGGCCTTCCCCTGTAAACTGTATTGAAACTGTTTGCCCTGCCCCACAAAGTTGTACTGTGAGAATAGTTTGTAAGCCTCATGTTGTTTACGAGTGCCAGGGGTGTTACACTTGATAGAACACTTATCTTGAAGTATTGATGACATCATATTATTAAGGATTTTGAAATGTGTCCATGTGTGTGTTTTTGTTCTGTAAAAGATTTAATAAAACAAGAAATAAACACTCCACAACTTAGGCTTTGCTTGACAGAAGCCTTTCAGTGTGCATAATCAGACATGAACTGTACTACAAACAAAAGTATGGGAACAACCTAACATTTGATAGTCATTTATAAACTTAAACGTGGTGAGGTCATTTATACTCTAAGGTAAATGCAACTTTTTGTGTGCTTAATGGGCACTTTAAACGACATGTTGGAACATGCAGTGAAGCAACTGATTCAATATTCGTTGAATTTGAGTGAAATGAAAAATTGTCAAAAAACAGCGAAAAACAAGGGTGCTGATACACACCAGCACCATGTTTGATTCAAACGCCCAAACACAACAGCCTAGTGCATGTGGAAGACTGACTTCCAATGCTTAGAGACTTAGAGAATAAATGAACTCACCACGTTTAAGTTTATATATGACTATAAAATTTTAGGGCGTTCCCATACATATTGTGTGTAGTATATATACACTTCAAACAGCATGTTGTCAACTCAGGCAAGATCATTATTTTCAAACTAAAGAATAAAAACATGTCCCCTGACAAAGAAAAACATACAGCCACAAGGCTCTGCAGTCTGTCTGAATTTTAGAGAAATAATCACATGTTTAAAATTGCATCAAAATTCTTTGAGCACTTTTTAGAGACACCATAGCTGGGATCATTCACACAAAGGTCATCTCTGTAGGCCTTTTTTAAAATATCATCACATTACATACCACATGATTACTGTTATCAAATTTCTCAATAACATATCCAGAATTGAGTTTGAAAAGGGAATGTAAAGTTGACAACGGATAGACAGATGGATGATGGTAAAAGCACCTTCACATAAATTGTCTTGGCATTCAGTCAGGTGATGGAAAAAAATACCCATATCTTTTATAAAGTAAATTAAAAGTTAGACATTTTTTTAACTTAAGACAAATTTAAATTAACAAGGAAAATCATGAAAATCAATCATGAAAAGAAGACGAATATCTGTACTTCCAGGCTAACTATGACTTTATCTACCAGTAAAACCTGGAGCCAGATATTTAAGTCTTTGGGTTCAGGTAGATAACAATATCTTTCTTTCAATTTATTGACTCCCTAACTTGAACACGTTGGCTTTATTTCTATAAATAAATATCTTTAGTTCTTTTCTTATCAAAAAGACAAGACTTAGGACTTTTTCTTTTCTACTGGCATCTTTATCACTGCCAAGACAACCTAGTTAGCTTGTCTTGGCCTTTTGCCAATCCTACACTCTATCTTATGAATATCACCCTCAGCTAATTTGTCAAAGCTAAAAAACGTTTTTCCCAAAAAATATTCTGTGTTGAAAACCTCTATAGTTCAGGAAGACTAATTTGGATGTTAGCATGGTTCTATTTCGAAAAGAAAACTTAAAGAAATGCCTCAACAAAGATGGAGACATTTATGGTTTCAGAGAATGCAGCATCAGCCTGCTACATATTATACAATATCATTTTATGAAAAAACATACTGGAAATATCAGTGAATTGTTGCTATAAATGGTCTCTTCTGAAACTAAATATTTGTGTTTTTAGTGAATGAATTAGTTTTACGCCGCACTATAATAGTCCAGCTATATGGCGGTGATCTGTAAATATCATCGTTAGGATGAGAAAGCCACAATAACTCGGTGCGCCTTGTGGCTGCAAGAGTGTATACTCCCCAGCCCCAGGGAGTTGAGATTGATAATACGATGTGCCGTTGAGATTGACATCCAATGATCAAGGGGAAAAATACCAGCGCCTTGAGCATGCACTAGTTGCGTGGATATGTGTGTTATGTAAATATCCTATAATATAATAATAAATAATTGAATCTGCACCACACAATCCAGTGATCATCAGCATCAGCATTGAATTTTTTTAATGTGATAGAATGAGTGTATTCGGTACATAAATAAAAGAGACAAAACCCTTTCTATAATCATAACAAGTTCTTCCTTAGTGCAGAAATGATTGTATAATTCTAACCATATCATGAGCATGGGCTTATGAATCACCATCAACATACAGCAATGAGTGTCAACCAAGTGAAGTGTCATATCAAATCAACTTTGCCTCAGTTTTTCAAGGGGAGGTTCTCTGAATGATTACTGCACTGAGTTTGAATGAAGCCAGCTGGCCTGAAAAGTGAAACAGAAGGCTTTCTCTTTGCTGCTCGGGACCAGTATCTTCCCATGAATGAATTTTGGTCATGGACGTCCAGCATTGGCACTAACACAGCATCTTAGGTGACATGACGGTGTGACCTTATCATTTTATTTCGCAGTCTTCACCATGCTTGTGATTTTAACTTACACTGAAAATTACAACTTTAATTTTTTTTGGAATCAGCCCATATAAAGCCTCAGATGTATTCAAGACAGAAGCTGACCTTGAACTTCATGATAAAACTGATGAAATCATTCATAACATTGAATTATCTGTCCCTTTTCACACTAATGTGATTGACAAGATCCAGGAAAAGCATGGCAAATATGCAGACTTTGCTTGTATCCAAAGTACCAAGTTGTCTCCCCTCTTGACCGACGTTGAGAGTGTGCCTGGTATACTGCCAGGAGCACAGTCCTCTTGACACAATGGGTAATGCAGAACGCTGTCGTGTTGGGAAGTTGTCACATTTTCCAGAAATCTATGGGTTTGACAGCGCCTCCTGGAAGAAGTCCCATTTGCTGTCTGGACTGCATGGAAAGGAGAGCTAATAACGAGCCTAACCAATCTGACTGTGCAAGGATCACCTGAACCCTCTTTACTGAATTTAGTTATTTTAATCTGTAGAATAATTACAATAAATTGCAACATGCTACAGTTCATCTAATGAATCATGCACATTTATTAGCCCAGTCAAAGGATTGGATTTTCTTTGTAGCTCTCTTTGAGTATTGAGCCACTTGTTACGTGAACTGGAAAGCAGACAGTTAAATACACATTGTAAAGCCAACAAACAACAAAGAAATGTGACATAATTTACAGCTGTATTCTAACCAAGTTTACAAATTAATACTAATCACTACAAAGGAATTACAATGGCAGTATAAAATAGAGAGGCAGTACAAGTTAGTGAGTGAGTGAGTGTTTAGTTTTACGCCGCACTCAGCAATATTCCAGCTATATGGCAGTGGTCTGTAAATAATCGAGTCTGGACCAGACAATCCAGTGATCAACAGCATGAGCATCGATCTGCGCAATCGGGAACTGATGAACCGTCAACCACTTGACAGCTTGACCTGTCAATTGGTTACTAAAGATCAATTCTGACCGGTCCAGTTCAAGTTAAATGGAGGTGAGGTGAGGTGAGGTGAAATCGTCATGCTGGAGAATATTTTGCTCATATGACGACTAGCTCAGACTGAAGCTGGTTTTATAGTGCTAGCCCACTGAGATACCATGCCGCAGTAAAGCATGAATACCCCACTCAGAACTGACTCACCAGTCCTTGTTGTACCCATTAATGCCGAAAAGCCAGGCAGGGACCCCAGTACCATATTTTAACGTATTTTGGTATGATGCGGTCGGGGATCGAAGTACAAGCTTAAACCACGAGGCGGAAGTTACAAATACAAATACAACGGCAATATAATATACAAGCAATGATTATTGCAATGAAGACAGTGATGTAGCAACAGCGGTCAAGCTTACAAAGAGGCCTTGGCTGAGAATCCAGGGTGAAATGATCTCCACACAACTGCTGATCTTCTTGTAATGTGAGATCAAATGTAAGCTAACAGAGGCAAGACTGGCTAACTTTCCAGAACATATCTCTGAGTCAGACTACACTGGAAATATTCCAGAAGAGGCCTAGAAATTTCCAGACCAATGAAGACAGTCTTGTCCTCAGTCTAAAGAAGAAGACAGCATTGCACTCTACTGAATCGTAACAGAAACAATGATATACACTTGCAACACTGTCCTACAAACACTACCACTTGGCACTGAGAGGTTAACACTTAGCCTAGAAGGTTAACAGTCACATTACTATCTCATCCTACCTGGTACCCATTCACTGCTGATAAGCAGAGGCATATTCTGAATATAGCCAGTTATTATTGTTAATTGTTTATTTGGACATTAAACATTAAATCATATAGAGTTTATAGATACCTATCTTAAAACAAGTTAAATACTTTCCAGAAAGACCACTATGAGTGAGTGAGTGATGAGCTAACACCCCCAGACCACTGTGAGGACTTCCTGAATATTTTTGTTCACCATTTTTTTAAAGCCATTGGAATTCTGGAGAATATTATTGGTTCCCAGCAACCAATGTGGTAAATGGATTGGATATGACTTGGTAAACTGCACCCCCTACATGGAGCAGTGCTCATGATATCAATCACCAGGTCTAGAGTCATATCTATACACTTCCATACAGCTTTAATATTGTTAAGTGCAATGTTAAACAAAAACAAAAATTATCCATGTATTTATCTTATTTGGTATTATTCCCTTCAAGTTAAACAAGTTATTCCACCACAAGTGCAATTAGCACTGTGATGAATGATAAGAAATGAGCGATTGAGTGAGTTTAGTTTTATGCAATATTCCAGCAATATCACGGCAGGGGACACCACAAATGGGCTTCACACATTGTACCCATGTGGGGAATCAAACCCGGCTCTTTGGTCTGACGAGCAAAAGCTTTAACCACTAGGCTACCCCACCGCCCAATAAGAAATGAAAGTAGGTTACTTTTATCAGAATCGTATCACCAATATGACAGCAATGCTAACCAATAGAGAGATCAGTCTTATGTAGTAATATGTGCTTTACACATGGAAACACACCAGGAGGTCACAAACATCACTCGAACAGTGTTTATCGAAGTCACATGCTGTATATTTGAGAAACGATAACCTTTTATGTTTACACATGGGAGTCATACCCTCTATTCCCAGAGCTGCCTAGATAAAGGTGGATAAATAAATACTAATAATATGATCGCCATCATGTGAGGTAGAGTGTTACATTGTTGCCAAAGTGAGACACAATGTCTCCCATCTGTCTCTCATGATGCATTCCCCACTGATATTATCAGAGTTGGATGTAATAAATCGCAGTCCAGATATCTGACTCTTAGAAGCACTTTAGTTACAGGAATATTGCTCGATCTGTTTTATTTTAGAACCCATGGAAAGATTTAATGACTGATATGGTGTTTTTCCAACCTCTTTAGTCAAGGACTCCTTGAATTCCAGGCCATTTTTTAAACTGTACAACAATTAATAATTATTAGTCTTGACAAAATTACAAGATCGGTGTCAAACTTGCACTGTGCCTAAACAAAGAAGCCATTACCTAAACCAGAAAACAATCCATTGATACAACTCTTTAAGAAATTAGAAAATGGGATCCAAACTTTGCACTGCAAAACTGTTTTAAACAAAAAGCTGTTTTTAATTTAAAAACATTTTGAAAAATATCTTTTGAAGTTATTGCTTGAACAAAGCTTTTCTATATTAAAGTTTTTAAATTGCTGGTAATTCTTAAAGAAATTAAAATATCATAATCCAAATTTGCACTGCATCCATCCTTTAGACAAGAAGGTGGTCCTCACATTTGAAAGAATCCAACCAATAGTTTCAAGTTACTGGTTGAACAAACTTATAAATTGAAATTTTTAAATTGCTGTAATTATTGAAAAAAAAAAAAAATATCAAATTCAAAATACGCACTTAACTCATCCTTTAGACAAAGAAGGTGGTCCCCAAATTTCAGTGAGTGAGTGAGTGAGTGAATTAAGTTTCATGCTGCTTTTAGCAATATTGCAGCAATATCACAGCAGGGGACATCAGAAATAGGCTTCACACATTGTACCCATGTGGGGAATTGAACCTGGGTCTTCAGAATGGTGAGCAGATGCTCTAACCATTAGGCTACCCCACTGCTCCTTACGTGCCACTGTCTATAGCTGAGACTTCTGTGACATATAATTGTAGTCAATACTTAAGAAATACTATATTGTTTATGTTTGAAATACGTAGAATCTTTGATGACATCTAATTTGTAGTCATAGCAAAATACATAGTATTGAATAGTACTGTAGCTCACCTGCCATACAGTCACAAATCAAGAATTATGTTTGAAATAATTAGAATCTTTGATGATATCTAATTTGTAGTCATAGTAAAATACATAGTATTGAATAGTACTGTAGCTCACCTGCCATACAGTCACAAATCAAGAATTAGACTCAATCAGATCAGCACATAATGAGATACAAATTTTGAAAGTGAGTGAGTGGAGGAGTAGTGGTAGGAAATTGGATTTACTTTCATCAGTGCTGCAGTCACACCATGAGAAAGAACACAATGCAAGTCCTGAGTAACCTACGCTAGAATTTTTATAAGATGATCTAAATGGAGAAGATAGTCAGGCCGAGCAACTTGGCTGATTGCTTGTCATTGTATCCAGTGCGTGAGACATTATCAATCCACATTATCAAGTACTGGATTGTCTGATCCAGACTCGATTATTTTGTGGCTACTTGCATAGAGTAGCTGAGTGCAGAATTCAGCGACAAGCAAACTTGCTATGACTAAGTCCTTTTTCTGAACTGGTAAATGTGTTAAAGTCCTAATACAATCAGTAGTAGAACAGAACATTTATACCAGCAATTATGCAGCATCTCAATATTTCATTATATATGTGGACATATTTCTAGTGGTTAAAGTATTGGGTAGCCTAGTGGTTAAAGCGTCACGCCGAAGACCCGGATTCTTTTCCCCATGTCGGTACAATGTGTGAAGCCCATTCCTGGTATTCCCCACTGTAATATTGCTGGAACATTGCTAAAAGCAGCATAAAACCAATTCCAATACACATATAATATATTTGATTTAACAGTGAATTCTGTGGTTTAGATCATTTACAGAATAGTTATAAGTCCCAAGAATACAAAGAACATGAAGGGTGAATTGGACTGTATTTGAAGTAAATTGTGAAAGCTTGCATCTACAGTTATTAAATGATCCTAGATCATATATTATGGAACCGTATTAGAAACCTCCCCTATGGCTCAGATAACTACCATTTTATGGCTGACATACAGACCAAAATGTTGACACGTTCTTGAAACAGTGTTTTGTAACGCTGAAGAGGTAATGGTCTTGAAGTTTTTAATGTAACTTGCTTCTATAATGGCTGAACGGGGACTCATGCATGCGTTTGCAGACAGAAATACGAGATGGTTTCAATCATTCATGATGAGAGATGGAATATTGGCTTGTCATGTGACACTGAAAATAGTGAACTTACAAAGCCTTAATAGTTCCAATCTCCATTTTGTCCTGAGGTCTCTCGCTTTGAACTGACGCTGCGGTGGGACAAGAAGTAATACAATAAACGCTTTCTCACTCCAGTGTGCAAAACGATTTGATGAATATTTACATCATACGATAAAATGTGTTTATGTTTGAATGCTGCAGTGAATCAGATTACCTTAACTTTATGTGATGCTGTGAAATTGGTAGTATCCCAGTCATGGACATTCAGTCATGTGACCCAAGTCCATATAACAAAGTCACTTCATCTCAATGCTGTATGTTCAAATAGTTACAATAATTATATAATGTGAGTATTCAAAATGTGCCTGATTACATGTACCAAGTTTTTGTTTCCCTTGGTTGTTGTACAAATGCCACACTTGGCAATATTCCAGCTATATGGTGGCGGTCTGTAAATAATCAAGTCTGGACCAGACAATCCAGTGATCAACAGCATGAGCATCAATGACATATCTCAACCAAGTCAGCAAGCCTGACCACCTGATCCTGTTTGTTGTCTCTTACATGGGTTGCTGAAGACCAATTCCAACCCAGATCTTCACGGGTAACATGTACCAAGTTGCAGTGCGCTCAAGTCTCGTATTAACCTATCAGTTATAACCTGGATCAGAACAAACCTATCTCTGACATGCTAGACGAGATTTGGTCGAAGTTGGACCAATCTAAAGCAGAAATTGCTAAGTCTGTGGAGAATAGATTGGAGAGTTTTCGTGGCGAATTTCTAGAGACATCTAAAGAACTCACAAAGTTGAAGGCTGCTAAGGACATAGTGTGGAAAAAAGAAGGTAATAAGATTCAACATACTTTCAAGAGTGCACCGCACATGACATACCATATAACTGTTGTGTTGTTTGTAGTACTGAGTGGAGTGTAGGAGAACACGGGTAACATGTACCAAGTGAGTGCTCATGACTCTACATTATCATTTCCCCAGTCCAGGGTTCAGTGTGAATGGGATGTTACTTCTCAGCTTCCTGGGGAGTATACAACTCAAGCTACCTAAAAGTGCTAGAAGGTTTACAGTTTGTATTATGACTCTGCTCACCCAGCAGTAGATGGGTACCCAGCAGAATAAGACGGTCATGTGACTGTTAACTTTCTAGCGCCTCACACGCAGCTTTGATTAACCAGGGTAATAATGACAGAGCTTTGTACACAATCTGTCCTTATAGAGCCACTGAGTATCGTTGAGGTAGATATTAGGAGTTATAAATGTATCATATATATATATGTATATATATTAATAATAATAATAATAATAATAATTGGCTTGTATAGCGCCTAGTTTCAATCATAGATGCTCAACGGTAGCTGCATACATCGTTAAAAACACAATAAGTGTGAAAAGAGTTCTATTCAGAAGCCATCTTGAAGAAGTAGGTTTTGAGCAAGTTCTTGAATTTTGAATGGGACTCAGTTCGTCTGAGGGTGACTGGAAGATTGTTCCATAGAGCTGGTGCTGCTACAGAAAAGGCTCTATCACCCATGGATGTTTTAGTGCTTGGCTGTGTTAGTCTTAACGTATCTTTTGATCTAAGAGCTCTGGTGGGTACATGCAGATGTACAAGCTGGCGAAGGTAGTCACAGGACTGGTCATCGTAGAGGCAGTTATGAGTCAGTAGCAGAATCTTGAAGTAGATCCTGTACTTTACTGGAAGCCAGTGAAGGGATTTCAGAACTGGCGATATATGGACCATCTTGTCCTTTCAGGTACCCATTCACTGCTGGGTGACCACCTGGGGCACATCAGAAGCCTTGGAAACAGACAAGCTGCCGAACAGCTGATGTATATTGACAGTAATTCAGTTATATGGTTTAGTAACAGCAATGAGGTCAATGCAATAACCAAGACAAAAAATGTGGCAATCTCTGGTCAAATATTTATGCGACCTTATTTTCAGCATGGTCAGTATTCACTCTGAATTAAACTATTATGTTTTAAACTGCATGTTTTGCTATTACCATTTAATATTCTTTTTAACCTTGAAAATCAAGGTTATTTCAATTTAAACAATTCAACGCCTTTGTAGTTAACAACATGTAAAGAAAAATTTCAAATTTATAAATCTAGGCCAAAGAAAGGCTGCAGTGATTAACTATGCAAGTTCCAATATCTTTGGAAATTAAGTTTGAACTAAAAATCGTAAATGTTGAAGGTCAAATGCAATCACAATAACATCTGCCTTATACATGACAAGGAAATCTTCTTTGAAAACACTAAAACACCCTCCTCCATTTCAACTTTATCACATGATTTCCCTGAAAACTACTTCAATCATTTGATGTACTATCTTCCTCACCACCTTTGAAACTTGATGCAATAAATTTACTGACTTTATGAACCTGCAAGATTGAAATAGAATATGCCTTTTCTTCCATGGTCTTTTAGGAAGGGATCAATGGATGCAGCCCATAGCAACAGTCACTAAGGACTCCAAATTTAATACCTTTATTACATGATGATAGCTACAGCTGTGATCAGAAATCATCTTTATGCCCAAATTATCCACACCAAGTATTAACTGCCAAAATCGCCCTATTAGCGTTAGTAGAATTTGATATGGGCCTGGGTCAATGCACACCTTTCAAAACTCTATCAGAGTTATCTCCCTTGGTTATTTTAAAATGTAACGATATGAATCAGAATGTGATAGATCCTTCATTACTCAGTAATCTGTCAATATTAGTAATCTGTCAGTAATCTGAGTTCATTGTACTTTCTGCAAATAAAAGCAATTCATCCATGGAAGCTCAGACATTTAAAATTTGTATGTCTAACAGCTTGTGACAAAGTATATTTTTACTTAAGGTAGGCCATGACTAAATCTGCAAAGTGTGTACTCAGCGAACAATCTATGTCACTTCAGCCCTTCTCAGTATCCAACATGTAAACATTCATGACACTGCAAGACACCAAATGAGCTGTGAACATATTATTTGATGGGATAAAATGAATATTCTCCTTCATATTTAGTTGTCAATGAGCACCATCACGTTACCACTGAATTAAGTCCCCAAAGTCTACTGAGCATCCTACAGTAATCAATGTTACCATACACTATACAGAACAGTTGAGTACTTTATATATAGCATAGTGGGTTCTGGTTTGGACATTTTAAGCAATACATGAAAGGCACCATGATAACTGGTAATAAGAACACCTTGCAATATCATGCAAATAACTAGTCACTAAAAGCATTGCTGGATAAAACTCAAGGTAAAACTGTCAGGTTTGATATTTGATGCCCTGTAATTTTAACACGTGAAGTCTCTGGATTGAACATATGACAAATATGTTATTCTGAGGGCCAGCTGATTAACATCCTTTTTCCTTTTGTAACTAAGAATGTTTTCATATAAGAATTTTTGTGCTGATTAACATGCTTTCCCTTTTGTGACTTAGAATGTTTTCACTTAAGCATTCGAACCGTGAAGGTCCGGGTTAGAATATTGATCTTCAGTAACCCATGCTTGTCGTAAGAGGCTACTAACAGGATCGGGTGGTCAGACTCGCTGACTTGGTTGACAACATGTCATCGGTTCCCAATTGCGCAGATCGATGCTCATGCTGTTGATCACTGGATTGTCTGGTCCAGACTCGATTATTTACAGACCGCCACCACATTGCTGGAGTGTGAGTAAAAGTAAACTCACTCACTCATATAAGCATTCATATGCTGATTAACATGCTTTCCCCTTTTGTGACTAAGAATGCTTTCATATAAGCAGTTTTATTCTGTGATAACAAAGGGTGAACAAAGGGTCTTTACTTCGAAAAAAATACTTTTAATTCAAGTTTAAATAATTAACTAATTAAATTAAGTTTCAGTTATCACCAAATGGAACCACCTGCATGGGAAATGATCCCCATGCCAGCTGATTAAAACACACCTGTTGTTATACAGTGATATATTGTAGTACAGCACATAATGGTGTATGAGCATCAACCATGGCTGTATAATAATCTGGCAGTGAAAGAACTCCTTCCTTGTTATTGCCATCTAATTAGTAATATGTGGAGTGATATACACATCTAATTTGACGTTCCTTTGTAATTAGAGAATGTCATGAATTGTAAAACCATAGATTTTCTGTCTTTTATGCTATTAATCATCTTGGAGATGACTTTAATCAAGGAACCGTTTACATTAATTTACTTTGGTAGAGACAATTTATTATACAGAGGTGGAAAATCATCACTGCCGGAACTATATTGGTAGGAATGCATGCAGCCTTATGAGGTCATATGGAGATTTGACAAAAAAATGCAATAATAAATAAATTCTTGGAATTTCATGCCAAAATGCTTCACATAATTTCATAGCCTACAACATATAAATTACTGAAATACAACATAAACATAGTACTACTACGATTTAAGTTTGGAATGAATCATATACATAGACAATTAATGTCCAGACATTTATTGAGCCTTTTGCTCTTAAAGATGTTTATAGCGTAGTGTCTCCTGATGCAGATTCTGGAAAATGTGAATGAATATTTAATAATGAATGTATTGTGTCCTCAAGGTTTCCTGGTGTGTTTCTGGAACATCATTTAACTGTGGTATTCAACTGTCAATAGGAAAATAGTATATTTTAAATGTGGTATTCAACTGTCAATAGGAAAATAGTATATTTTAAATGTGGTATTCAACTGTCAATAGGAAAATAGTATATTTTAAATGTGGTATTCATCTGTCACTAGGAAGATAGCATGTTTAACTATGCTATTCCACTGATACCAACTGATGTATCAGAAAATCTAGGAACCATCAATTACACAGTACCACACAAACAGTCAAACATCTTCATTATTGTTTAACGCAATGGTTTCCATATTTACTGTTATCAGCATTCTCCACATGATTTGTCAACCTTTTTCATTTAACTATAAAAAGCTGAAATCTTCAGAAACTCAGAACATTTGTCTCTCTACCAAACATTAGAATACATGTATATAACAAAAATCCATCTGTAGACTAGAATAATTTGGAAAGTATGCATTGTCTCAGTTGTGGGCTCCATTTGAATTTGAGTGAGTGAGTATGGTTTTATGTCGCTTTTAGCAATATTCCAGCAACATCATGGCGGAGGACATCAGAAATGGGCTTCACACATTGAACCCATGTGGGGAATCAAACCAAGGTCTTTGGCGTGACGAGCCAATGCTTTAACCACTAGGCTACCCCACCGGCCCCATTTGATTTTGACTTTTGTTTAGTAGATATATAATTTTAAACAAAATAACTTTATTTCTGGGATTAAATGCTAGCTTTCAGTGTAGGTAAGAAAAATGCGGCCAATTGTGAGAGAGTTCAGCTACCAAAATAGCAATATGAAATAAAAATCTATGAAGTATAATGTGATGAGGGCTTGCAAACAGTTTTTGTTAACAAGCTCTTGTGTCCAGGAAACTAATAAGCTAGGACTGTGTATCAGCAAAGAAATTGTATAGCAATATATCATGATACAGGTATCAATATTGCGACACATATTGTGATATATTGGGAGCTGCTTGAGAGAGAGTAACACTGATTGAACATGCAGATCCTATCATCTACATACGAAGACTCCAAACATATATCCTGGACTTCTGTTCACAGCAATCTCAAAATTAACAGGTAGGTATTCTTCCTTTCAATCTTAACTAATTTATAACATGCAAAACTGAATATCACCCTAGAATCATGTGATGTATCATTTCATATCATTTGCTACAACTCTTTTGCATTATAGAGTTTGTTTGTTATTTCTTTATTCATGAACTTTTCACATAAAAATGGCTGTTTTGATATACATTTTACTGTCACTTGTGTGAGTTGTCTTCTCTGGTCTGGCATCCATGAGCACTGTACAGCTCGTGTGTGAATGTTCTGTGAAGTTTTGTCATGTCCTTTGGAAACAAATTCCATTACTTTATACACATACCTAGTATACTAGCGTGTATCAGACTTTACAGTGCCCTGGCTGTACTGTCGAGACTGTAACAGGGAGTCAGGATATTAAACATTTAAATTAATTTTAAAAAAGCTGTGGAAATAATAACAAAGGTTGTTATATTTTTAAACCAATATACTGCTACACATATAGTGCTACAAAAATATTGCAATACATTTGCAATAATGGGAGTTGTGAATTGTGATATGCCATTAATACCATGCAGTGCTACAATTTGTACATCGATCCAATATATTGTCTGACTTCTGCGCATTCTAGGCTCTTTTCAAAAGAGGTGACAAAAGAGGTGGTCAGGCTCAGTGACTTAAATGATGACATGACACTGCATCCCGATTGCTTGGATCAATGTTCATAATGTCCGTCACAAGACTGACCACCATCACACAGCTAGAGTCTTGCTGAGTCTTGTGTTAAACAACAAACAAACCAATACAGTGGAAGCCCTCTAAACCAGCAGCCCTCCAATCCGGCATGCTCTCAATATTGGCACTAAAATTTGGTCCCGACAGATGCTGTTTAATCTATGAGCATTCTCTAAACCGGCACGCCCTCTATACCGCCATTTTTTGTCGGTCCCAACAAGTGCCGGTTTAGTGGGCTTCCACTGTATATTAACAGTCCTTGGACCTGTCTAACTTTGTCTAAGATGTTGCAGCTCAAGTGTCTGAAGTCACCATGCCTGGCACCAAATAATTTGTTGGATTATGAACAGCGGGAGACCTTGCACAAACAACCAGGTAATGCCACTGGCTCACATACTGTTTGCTGTGCATATTCTGGAGGCAGTTTATCACTGTCACTTGTAGTTGATTTGGCTCCAGAGATGACACCAGCCTCTTGAAACACTTCATAAAAGTGGAGACCTGACAATTTCCAGTTCAAAAGAGGTTAGCTTTTAAACTTTTTCCTGGATCAGGATTTACCCCGAAATTAAGCTGGCTGTGTGCCAGAATCTTCCATTTTAGTTTTAAAGTATTGAATTGCTGTCATGCTGGAGTGTTTGACTGATTTAGGAAGTCTTACAACGAAAAATGTTTTATAGCTGTAAAATATAGCTGAAACTGTGGTGTTAGTTATACAGGACAGATATTATCTCATGATGACGGGCGGTGGGGTAGCTAAGTGGTTAAAGCATTCGCTCATCATGTTGAAGACCCGAGTTTGAATCCCTACATGGGTACAATGTGCGAGGCCCATTTCTGATGTCCCCCGCCATGATATTGCTAAAACTTCGGCTATTTCGCTCGCTCGCCCACCTGACCCGCCCGCTCAAGCCCCCGCCCCAGCCACTCACTCACTCTCATGATGAAGAAATACCCAGAGATGTACACTGTGTTCCTCACAGTAAAGAACCTCTCCATTACGGCTGTATGTTGACAAATATCAGCAAAAACAGTAGTCTTCTTTGGATGCTCATAATAATATAAAACGTCAGTCCAAATGAATATCTAGTTTCAGCTTTTCTCAAAAACAGATTCTATTTGATGTGAAAGGCAAAATATCTGTGAAAATCTCAAACAGAGCATTATGACAGAATCCCATGAGAAGTTTGTCTTACATTTCTCAAATGATATCCTCAAAACAAATTTGAAGACAATGGTGAAGTCCTAAGAAACACTTGTTTTCATCTTTGAATCTTTGAACATGGCCCCGATTTCTCAAAACAAACTTAAGTTTTTACTCAAATTTCAAAATGAGTTTGACAATTTGAAACAGCTGAAATTTTAACTCAACTGCATTTTTAAAATAAAAAGGCCCAAACAACTTAAGTAATATATCCACCAAACTCTACTATGTCTACTATGTGTGAGTTTAGTATCAATTTCACTTCATTCTGGGAAATGCATTTTATCAAATTTGAGTAAAAACTCTAACTTAAGTCAAAACTAACACTTAACTGTGTTTCGAGAAATTGGGGCCTGGTTTCATTGATGTAACTGATGTGGTTTATGCATGAAGTTATCTATTTACATCCCTGATCATACACTGTCTTATATATTTCTGGTACCTATATTCCCTACTTTCAAAAAAATTTGGGGATCATGAAATAAAAACATTTTTGATTGGTTGTTAGAAAATTATTTTAAAAAGACTGCAGGAGATGATGTTTTCAGAACCAAAATCTGATGTCCCAACACACCCAAAATACTGAATGCTGTCCACTAAGATTATACATATATGTGGGTCCATCTTGATTTTGGTACCTCAATGAAATATCCTCAGATCAAGCTCTCATATTATTTTCATTATCCTCAGTTCGGTTCTTGTTTCAATGCTGTACTTGTGATCAGATTGCTGATGTGGTTTCAACAATGATAAGAACCCATGAGGACTATTGGCATTCTAGAAGAAAATAGCAAGAGGTAGCCAACTCGTTCCATGTGTCTCAGTCTGTGTTTTGCAGACTTTGGTCAGGTTTCTGCAGACACAGAACATTCATGATCATCCACCCACAGGGATTAAGCAAAGAATTATTCAACCAGACACCTGGTTCAGAACTCCAGACATCCAATCAAATCACTGTTGACTTATGCTCGGCCACTAGAGTAAAAGTGGACCAGACTATTAGAAATTGTGTGCATGCAGTTAATCTGTGTGTTCAGCAAGCATGTGTTGTACCACCATTAACAAGTCAATACATTCTTGTCAGATGCCAATGGTGATTAGAGGGAAGAAACCGGAGGAATTGCTGTTGGTCTTCTAATAGTCCCGATTCACTCTGGATTTTCTGGATAAGCATGGATGTGTCTGGAGGCAACCTAACAAAATGTCAACATAAGGCAGCAGGACAGAGTTGGTGGTTGCTGTAATGACATACAGGAGGATCACTATGACTGCCACAACAACACTGTAATTGTAAGGTTTGGTTGTTGCTTAACACGGCACTCAGCAATATTCCAGCTATATGGCGGGCTAATTGTAAGTGGAAGGGTCACTGGACAGCATTACATGGCAGAAATAGTTGGTGCACATTTTGTCTTTTAAATTGATAATGTACATATTGCAACTGACAACTACAGCAGCAAAACATAACCAGAATCCAATAGTCACCCATGAGTTCTGACTTTCCCCTAGACAACAAGAAATGATCGAGAGACATGTATGCTGGCATCAAAGGTCGCCTATTATCAGTGTATTAAATAAGGCCTGTCTGACCGCCGGAGACGGGCTAGATTTCTGACGGGACGGCCTAAATTTACAGCTAGCCAGGTCTGGTAAAATTTTAGATAACATGTTCCATACATCTGAGTAATTTTCTTTGTATTGTCTGGTCTGGTTAAATCCATTTTGGGCTGGTAACATTTTACCTGCCCTGATGTCTGGCTGGGTTTTGGGCTTATTTCATACACTGCTACTGTGGTTGTAAGGCTGGGCCAGGAGCTTGAAGAGATGTGGACAAGACTCCCCCAAATTCTCACTGGAAGAGTGGGTGAGCAAGTATAGTTTAACAATGCTTCTAGTAATATTCCAGCAATATCATGGCAAAGGTCACCAGAAATGGGCTTCACACACTGTACCCATGTGGGGAATGGAACCCGGGTCATGATGAGCAGAAGTTTTAACCACTAGGCTACCCGGTGACCCACCTGGAAGACTGATGCAGACCAGGTGATACCATATGAATTAATGTTTGCCCAAACATAGGAGAATAGCATGTTACTCATCATGTCATGTTATATATTCATTTTTCTTCCCACATACCTGATGTCTTTATTTGTTGTTAGTCTATAAAATGACAATACCAATAGCGCTCACAGATATTAGAGTAATATTTAGACTGCACCATTATATTTTTGTATCACCTTCCAATAAAAATCAAACTTAAAGATAAATACAAAAAGCTTGCACAATGCATTTTGCTCTACTGACCAAATGTTTAATTACATTAAACCATATCCCTTCAACACACACAGAACACAGATGTCCTGTACAGAAGCTTCCATTTCAGTTGGGTTTCTAAATCTATCTTCTTTTTCTATTCGCACTGCTAGGCTTCATTTACACCCCAAATCCATATCTGCAGAATCATTTCCATGATCACTGCACAACATTAACAAGAATATAGAGTACATCATCACCTCATTATCACATGTGGTTTTCCATTGTCCTCTTCTGTATATCATCTATTCCCAGTCATGGCACCACTGCAAGCTTGAAACATGATTACTTTCAACATGACGATTCCGCTGATACAAAATTGTAACATCAAAACATATTTCTATATTCTTTAGGCTACATAACCAATCGTTACCTCATATTCAAACATTTTACAAACAGCTCATCACTCTGACATCAGATGTGAAAGCTTTCAATAATTCAATCATCTTACCATCTCCATAATGCAATATTTTTGTCACTTAAGCAAACTGATCATATTACATACACATTTCCGAGTTTTGTAGTGAGAGCTTCACCAAAATCAAATCATAGTAGTTATCATGCCTCAACTAGAAAGCTCTCAACACATTAATGTCTGAAACCGAAATGGAAGCAGCCATATTGGTCTGGTCAACATTTACATTTAATCTCAGGACCAGCTTCAATCACTTGCTCATTGGATCCACAGCCATAAATCATAAAATAATAAAATCTAAGCTTTTGCTACTCTGATAATGTGATGTCTAGAACACATGGAAGGATACCGTTACATTGTATGAAGCCGAGATAGGCTTATAATGGGAGGTCTGTCCTCTTAGTGAGTTACGTCAAAAGTCATAAAGAATCATTACGTCATTGTGTTATTACTATATATGAGTTTATATTACTATATATGAGTTTATATATATAATTGTCATCATTAAGTGAGTGAGTGAGTTTAGTTTTACGCCGCTTTTAGCAATATTTCAGCAATATCACGGCGGGGGACACCAGAAATGGGCTTCACACATTGTACCCATGTGGGGAATCGAACCCAGGTCTTCGGTGTGACGAGCGAATGCTTTAACCACTAGGCTACCCCCCTGACCTCATCATTAAGTGTCTACAGGAACGTGCATGAAGTGAACAGTTTTTTTTGTCTGCCATTGCTTCACACATAGTACCATGGGGGACCTGAACCCAGTGCTTTGGTGTCATGAGCTAATGCTTCAACCACTGTGCTATTCCATGTCCTTTCTCACATATTGAGCTGATGCAAGTGCTATTTAAACTCAATCACTTCCTGCTATTTAAACTCAATCACTTCCTTATAATAAACAAGATGTTCTTCTTCACGAAAGGAAACCTCAGTGTTTGCATCCAGCTAGCCTTGCTCCAAGGCTGTACTGAAAGCTGAGCCCATGGATGCATAGTAATTCTATCCTTTAAGAGGCAAGTCTAGATAAGCGGACAGTACATTCTGTTATTTATTATTTTTTAGAAAATATCATTTAAACTATTAATTTTTACCTTTGAAACTTGTACAGTTTGTCATATATTATTTTTGTAGAAATTAGCATTTAAACTATTAATTTTTACCTTTGAAACTTGTACAGTTTGTCATATATTATTTTTGAAGAAATTAGCATTTAAACTATTAA